AGGTGTCAGAATATGTCAACACTCTTCTAGGGGCCTCCGAGAGGTCAAATGGGCGTCATACAAAGCAGATTACTGAACAACACAGCTACAAGACTAACCCTGAGATACAAATGTGACAAATACCTCAAGGAGTGGCCGAAGTGTGTGTGTGTATCTGCTTTTGAAAAACACCAAGAGAATGCAACAGCTGCCTGGACTAAGACAGATGGACGGTTGTTATGGTCAGTCAGCCAAGGGAGGGGAAAAAGGTGCCAACATGCCACAAAAAGAACACACACACACACACACGCACACACACACACACTTGGAGCATCTTCACTATCTGATTAAAGAGCAGTTACATGCAGGCGTAATCTCATAATGGCTCCCCAGCAGCTGAATTGGACGCATCGTTTCTGAACCAGCTGTTATGGGTCTAGGGAAACCAACACCGTGCACATGTGTGAGCAACGCTGCATGATTTGGACTTCCCACATTCACAGCATGCCAGAAATTCCTCACTGAGGGATGTGTGGGAATGGCAGGGATTCCTTGGAGCTGAGGGAGTGGACAGGAATAGGCGTCCATGACTTGGACCCTGACCTACATCCTGATCAAAGACGCTCTGACCGAAAAAAAAGCGAGCCAGTGTAGCTTCAGTTGACTTCATGCTTAGTTAATCTATTAATGTTTCACTGTGGGAATCTCTGAAATGATCTTGATTTTGACATTAGAGATTGATAAACTCATGTATGCAAGCACATTTTTTTTCTATAATCCAAATGTTAAGTGTTCAGGTTGCTGGGAGATGAGGCTCAGTATTTAAAAAATGGTTCAAAAAACGTTATCACAAGGACGTAACGTAAAACAAATACTAAAAGTGGCACGGTTTATCCTGCAACTCGGTATCCCTGTACTGACCAATCAGGTACCCGCACCAATTGAGTACCGGGTCTCAATACCCATGTCAGAGGCATTTCCTTCTCTAAAACTACAACTCTAGAATAAAACTATAAAAAAAATACTAGAAAATTATCATTTTTAAATCATCGACATGCTCTCTTCAATAGATGTATTCCGTAAACAAAATTATAACATTAGGAGATTATACTGTTTCATTCAGAGTTGTTTGATTTCAGAACGGGGAGATACTAGGGTTGTAAAGTTTTTACATATCTCCCAACCCTAAGACAAACAGGCTGCTGTTTTTGCGCTGTTTAAGCTTAAGGCTACTGATGTTACTGGGTGTTTCTCAATGTCGAGGACGCTTCCTTGGTAGGACAAGTCCCACCGAGTCAGGTCCTTCGGAAGCGATGCAAGAATCCTTCCTAGCCTCAGAAAACGAAAAATGGTGGAACAGGCCAACCGGTGTGCATGTGTGCGTCATATGCGAGGCCCCGCCAAAGATTTGGAAATTGGTCCGTGCGCAAAGCATTGTGGGGATTTTAAGACCGTGGAGAGTACACATGTGCAGCCTCGAAATTTCCCGCAACGAAATTTCCGTCCGCGGGACTCGATGACGTAGCATCCTTGAAATAGTGGCTCTGGAGCAGCCTTCCTCGACATTGAGAAACACCCACAGATATCTCCGAGATCCTACTATCGAACATGACATACCTTTTAAAGCCAGTCTACATACTCAAACCCATACATTCATAAAACTAAATGCTCCTTACACTTGGATTAATGTTGGGTTACTACTGCAGGCGAATGGACAAGCGAATGCTATATCAAACTAGATAGACACACTGATTAACATGTGATTGTGCTTTTGCTGTTGGAGAGCTGCCATGCAGAGAAATCAAAAGCTAGATAATTGCCTGGTTACGGTTGCCCTGCCACGGTTAGAGAATCAACGGTCAGTCGTCAGTAAATCGCTGCTAACCTGGATGCGTTTTACAGTACAAAGACATGTAGTGCTACTGTCTGTGCCTGGAAGTTGGCGCTGGTCATGTTGAGCGCATTCATTTTCCAGTCATTACACACTTTTCCGACACCCTAGGCAGTTTAAAAACATGAACCCCCTGTATTTGTGGTTCTGTAATTACTACATGTGGCTACAATCCCGCCAACTAAAAATTAGCAGACGATTACAGATAAATGTTAGAATGTGGCAGGTGTCACTTATTGTGTCAGAAAACAGAGGCTGAGACACTGAGGATGTTATCGGTGATCACAGCACTGTTCATCAACTCCATTCTCCTATTATGTTTACTTCTTTATAATGTTCTCATCTGACTCGCTGCTTTTTAGTGCTTTGTGTTTTTATAAACAGTCAGCTAAACGGTCTTGTGTGTTCCCTGGCAGCTGTCCACCCGCCCTTGTTCCTATTAAATAAGCTTTGATTGGCTGCTGCACACGGACATTGATGAAACAAGAGGGGCTAATCTGATTGGCTGTTTTGAACCGACATAGCTGTGCTACTCTAACAATGCCCTTACTGTGGGTACAGCTGGCACCGGCTCTGCCACTGTATACACGAAACAACAAGTGAGTAACTGGTTAACAAGTAACAGGTAATTACGCCCTATTGTTTCAGTACCCGTATTTTAAGTTGCCATTTGTGCCAAAAAAAAGACATTTTCCGATTCTTTCAAAAGAAAATCAGGTTTAAATATTCAGGTTGAGTCTCCCTAGGGTAGCATTTTAAACTGCATAACACATCTCTTAAACTAGCTGTTTAAGGCAGAAGGAGGCAGGATATGTTAGAGCCTGACACTCCTTAACTTGTGAATACAATTATACTTAACACCCATACAATAATTCCTCTGGAGATGATCGAAAAGGTGCCATTTTTAAAGTGATGTTTGTGTATAGACTCGTATAGACTTTTTTGAAAACTATTTTTCTTTTCTGTATTACTTTTAATATAATATACTTTAATATTGTTTTAATATTGTCTGCTTATCTGTATTATTGTGTTGCATTGTTGGAGAAGCCTGTGACCTAAGATTTTCAACGACATAATTACTCTGTAGCTATGTTAGTTTGACAATAAAGAACCTTGAACCTTGTGTAGTACTTGCTGCATTGAAAATCAGGCTGCGTCGATGAAAACTGGGTATCATTATCTAGAAACACAGAGCTGACAGTGTGAGCGATTAAACAGCCTGGGTGTTTGTTTCCAGTCCACTCCACTCTCCATCTCCTCGCATTTTCTTATTTTTTGTCCCCAAATCTGAGTTTATGCCTGGGAAACACACCATCTTTCCTTTGCCTCCGCCTCTTTTTGTTCTCTCCATCCGTCCAGACCTCTAATAGCAGGGTAGGCTAACCGAGCGGAGAAACAGGCCAGGGTTACCCCAGTGACCCAAACACAGCAGGGGAGTAGCAGAGAGGGAGGAGGGAAGAATGAGAGAGAGAGAGAGAAAAGACTGCCTGTTTTTGGTGCCAAGAGTTCATTTGTCTGGGTCTTTTAATGCCACCTGATGTCATTCAGACAAACCGTGACGATACAGAGAGAAAGCACTGTTGGCAACTCTAAGATTTATATAGAAATGTGATAAAGACAGGAAACCAACAACAACAACTCTATTTGAGTGTTGTAAATACTTCCACAGTTCCCTTCCGTCACCAGCTGAGATTCAGTTTTCGAGTCTTGTTTTCAGCTGTTGACTCCGGCTGCAGTTCACCGTCTAAAGCCAACAGCAAGCCTTTTTCAGTTTGAGCTATCGGCACGGATACGCCATCTGGAGGCAGCCATGAAATGAAATCTCAGCTTGCAGAATGCATTGATCACTCAAAATTCACACATATTTAATTCAGCAGCAGAGCTATATTTTTGACTAGTGAAACAGAGACGGACGAGGATGAAAATACTCGAGCTCACAACACTCAACTCCATGAAAAGCATTCTCCAGCACATCTGTCAAGGTCCAAAGGCATTTACATGTATTACATAACTGCACCGCTCCCCTCCCCTTGCAACCCACTCTTCAGCTGCCCAGTCAGACCAGTGGCTGAGGAGTCCAGGCCAACAGATGGACAGGCCTAATCCCCCCCCCCCTCTAACCCAGGAAGTGATAACTGGCAAGCACCAGGAAGCTAAGAAACACACTTGCCCTGACAGTGTTGCACAGACAAGCTGATCAGTGGCAATGAAGCCAAGTATTGTCTAGATTTAATTGCATTCAGGTTTTTTTGTTCATCTCCTTTTTTCTGCAGGCGCTAGAGCTGTCTTCATTGGGGCCCTCGGGCACCAGAGCAACCTGCCAACTCGCTGCCCTCTTTTATATCTAGGGTTGGAGGGGTTTCCTTCTGATAGTTATGGACCAAAGCTACTGAAAGTCAAACGTTTTTCTGTGTCTCTTTTTCATAGTAGAAGGCATTGTCCATTAAAGATTAAACATACCCCTGAAGCACGCGGGAGTAATAATCTTATACTAAAGTGGTCATATGGCTCCCTTTAAATGTCACATCAGAGGGGAGCAAATATAAATCTTTTTATTTTCGGGAATAAACCATCATTACATTACTTGAAACAACAGGAATGTCAAGTGTGACTGAGACGGAAAGGTCATTTTAGGATGAGCTAATGGCAAGCTGGGTGATTAAATCATAATGGACGATACAGCAGGAGCAACTGGACAAATCAACTCCATAACCAAATTATAGTCTGAGAAATAAGGCTGGAAACAATCCTGAGAGAATGAAAGCTACAGAACCTTTCCATCTGAACTCATCGTTATCTCATCACCACGAGAGTCTGCTGTCGCTACGGAGAGTGGGTGCTAGACACAGGTAGCCAATCACATGCTGGGAAATAGGGTATGTGATGGAGGGGTGGGGGGGGGCTGTCAGTGAGATGTGAAAAATCACGATGACAATGACCTGTCTTTGTCAACGGGAACACTGAAATATTAATCGTGTGTGTGTGTGTGTGTGTGTGTGTGTGTGTGTGTGTGTGTGTGTGTAAAAAGCACACTCCACCATTGCCACACTAACTAAAACCGACATTGAGGGATGGAAAAACAGCAGCAAACTTTAGATTGCGTAGATTTGGTTATTTATGCTTGTCTTACCTGCTATCTGACTCGATACATCTCCTTTTGGCTCTTTAGGGAGGGATCCATCTGTAAAAACAGACATTTGATTTTTATGACCAACAAAGAGATAGAGCTTGTGAATAAAAACATCATAAGGAGCAATGGAGAGGAGCATTAACAGGAATATATCTGTTGATGACTTTGGGGCATTATTACAATGCTGTTCAATTCACTGTGCCAAAAAAACATATTTGATATCCACTAATACAGTACTACCAGCACTAACCAGTAGTCCCACTGCTTTGCCGACACTTAAGATCCAACAAAATAAGAACATTCTATTATGAATATGCTAAGAAAACATCAAACTATGAGAGAAAATGGTCATGTTAGCAGCTGTGTGTTGCCTTATTTGGGCAGTGCTATCATTAGCATGCTAACATACTATTAAGCAGGCATTTAAGATGAACAAATGTCTTGAATTGAATTTAGTGAGTTATCATGCTAATATTTGCTCATTGACAAGTAGAACGTATGCAAAAGGTATTGTTATTAGTTTCACTGGAATTATTTGGGAACAAACCAAAGTGTAAAAATGTACAAACGCACCACATAAAATGTCAGGGGATCATAAAAGTCATTATAGTTCATTATGAAGAGGTCATGAATGTCTGCACCTAATAGTATTCCAATCTATTCAATAGCTGTTAATGTATTTTTCCCCTAAGGACAAAAACTATCAGGCTGACATTGCAGCTGGCGTGGCAAAATAAAAAAGTTTGTACCAGCTGCCAGAAATCTGCTGCATTGCTAAACAGCAAAAAGAGAAGTTATATTGCATTACGTATTGGCATATGGAAAACTCTCCAACCGTAGTTTGTTCAGTCAAACAAAAAGCCAACGTATCAACATTTCATAAGCACAGGAAACAGTTTAATTAGAAACAGTCTTATGAGCAATACAACTGGTGTTAGAAAAACTAGCTACTATTAGCCTCTACAACGATAATCACTCGTTTATATGACCAATGTACCATCAATTAATAGGACATGTCTTGCTGGACCAATGCATGCAGAAGTTATCTTCTCATCACCCTATACCTCATGACCGAGGCCCAGTGGTTTCTCAGTGGATGCAACAATCAGCCCATTGATGGAGCCTATAGCCTGAGAGAGACTGCTGTGACTGAGAAGAAGATATGGTCAGTGTCATGTGCTGTCAACATGTAAACAAGCTGGACGCTGCACTGGCTGACTCAGTGAAACACACTGCCTCTGTTCCGAATCAGGCTCACTCCTTCCCGTTTAACACCACGGAGCACGGCATTAAGGCAGAGGGAAGCTACTATATAGGATCTGTCAAGTATCTAACAATATGGATGAAGACGTAGGTCGATTTCTATACTTAACAAGACCTATTCAACATGTAGTAGATGCAGTTTAGGATTGATGCACTGCTTCCATAGCTCGCAGTGCTTCTCAAAGTGTGGTCCGCGGACCACTGGTGGTCCGTGAGCGCCCCCTAGTGGTCCGTGAGTATATTGGTAAAATTTCACATTTGAAATAAATAAATACATTTAAGTTTTCCGCACTCTCGCGGGAATATCTCCGCAATGGAGCGAGCTTAAGTTTCACTTTCGATTGCATGATATAGCCCAGATAAACACCTTCATCACACATGTGGCCACTTGTTTGTACCATTTTCAGGCGATTTGTAAAAAACGGTGTTTTTGGATATTTGTGGAATTAGGTGGTCCGCGAGTGTTTTTTTTATTGGTTAAGTGGTCCTTGGTATGAAAAAGTTTGAGAAACACTGCTCTATAGAGATAGACTTTTTTATTTATCGATTAGTCTGCACAATTTCTTTGATTATTCTTCTGATCTTTGACCAGTATAGTGTTATCAACAGCTCCCGGAAACGTAAGTTCTAATATTACACTAGATAGTAAACTAGAATGCTTTTCAGCCATAAACCTTGAACAATTAAATTCAATGATTCTCTCTTCTAAACCATCAACGTGCATGTTAGACCCAATTCCAACTAAGCTGTTGAAGGAAGTTTTTCCATTAATTAGCACTTATTTATTAAATATTATGAATATGTCTTTATTATCAGGCTATGTTCCACAATCATTCAAAGTAGCAGTGATAAAACCGCTTCTTAAAAAGCACAACCTCGATCCAGAGGTTTTAGCCAATTATAGACCTATTTCCAATCTTCCGTTCCTCTCAAAAATTCTTGAGAAAGCGGTCGCAAAACAGTTGTGTGATTACTTAAAAAACAATGATTTATTTGAAGATTTTCAGTTTGGCTTTAGAACACATCATAGCACAGAGACAGCTCTGGTTAAAGTCACAAATGACATTCTAATAGCCTCTGACAAGGGACGTGTCTCTATTCTTGTTTTGCTCGATCTCAGTGCTGCATTTGATACTATCGACCATGATATCCTATTGCAAAGACTAGAGCACTTAGTTGGCATACAGGGAACTGCTTTAGACTGGTTTAGGTCCTATCTATCTGAACGCTCTCAGTTTGTACGTGTCAATGATGAATCTTCCACGCAAACCAAAGTTAGCCATGGAGTGCCACAGGGCTCAGTGCTCGGACCTATTTTGTTCACATTATATATGCTTCCGTTAGGCAATATTATAAGGAATCATTCTGTACATTTTCATTGTTATGCGGATGATACTCAACTATATTTATCAATCAAGCCTGATGAAATTAATCATCTAAATAAAATTTTGTTATTGTACTTGGCCCGAAGAATCTACGAAACAAATTATCTAAGGATATATTAACTATGGATGGCATTAATTTGGCCTCCAGTGAGACTGTAAGGAATCTTGGTGTTATATTTGATCAGGATTTATCCTTTAACGCCCACATAAAATCAATTTCAAGGACCGCCTACTTCCATCTACGTAACATTGCAAAAATCAGGCATATCTTGCCTCAAAACGATGCAGAGAAACTAATCCATGCATTTGTTACTTCAAGGCTGGATTATTGTAACTCTTTATTATCAGGGTGTACCAAGAAGTCAGTCAAGTCGCTTCAGCTGATTCAAAATGCTGCAGCTCGTGTACTAACCAGAGTTAGGAAAAGGGACCACATTACTCCTGTTCTGGCTGCCTTACACTGGCTCCCTATAGAACACAGGATAGAATTTAAAATTCTTCTTCTCGCCTACAAAGCCCTTAATGGGCAGGCGCCATCTTACCTTAAAGAACTCATTATACCCTACTGTCCTACTAGGGCATTGCGTTCCAAGAATGCAGGGTTGTTGGTTGTTCCTAGAGTCTCTAAAAGTACAATGGGAGCCAGAGCCTTTTCTTATCAAGCTCCACATTTGTGGAATCAGCTTCCAGTTTGTGTTCGGGCGGCAGACACCCTATCCGTTTTTAAGAGTGCGCTTAAGACCTTCCTTTTTGATAAAGCTTATAGTTAGGGCTGATTAGATTCAGCCCCTAGTTTTGCTGATATAGGCTTAGTTTGTCGGGGGACATCTTACTTCTTCCTTCTCTCTGTCTATACTTGTGTACTCTCATGTTCCGATTAACCCAGCTTCCCCAAATGTCTTTCTTTTTGGTGTCTGTATACGCCGGGATCCGGAGTCATGGATGATCCTGCGCTCCTCTGTCCTGGATCTTGAGTCGTGGCTGTGGTCCTGGATCATAGGTCCTGGATGGATATCCTCGTGGATTCATCTTCCTATTATACACACATGCATTTCCAAACATTTGGACTACCTATGTTGCAAATGTATTATCTTTTCAATTTACACACGGCATCTATTGCACGTCTGTCCGTCCTGGGAGAGGGATCCCTCCTCTGTTGCTCTCCCTGAGGTTTCTCACATTTTTCCCTTTAAACTGTGGGTTTTCTTCAGAAGTTTTTCCTTGTACGATGTGAGGGTCTAAGGACAGAGGGTGTCGTATTGTCATACTGATATTTTGTACAAACTGTAAAGTCCACTGAGACAAATGTAACATTTGTGATATTGGGCTATATAAATAAACATTGATTGATCTATAAATGTCAGAAATAAGGAAACGTGTCCCAGTTTCTCATAGTCCAAGTTGTATTTTTCTAATCCAAAAACTAAGAATCGACAGTGAACATCAGGAAATGTACATGCATGAGGCTTCAAAAAGTATTTTCTGATAATTTTGCAAAAATAAAACATTTGGTCATTTTGTGTTGATCGACTAATCTTTGAACACAACGATACAGAGTTTCTATGTGTTTTTGTTATTTTGGATCATGTACTCGCTTTTGGCAAACTGACTCAAATCAGGATTGTTTTTCCAATATGTACAACATGTGGCAGTATCTACAAGTATACCTTCACATGTACACACCTAAAATAAAATGCAACATGACACACCCCAACACGGCATCAGTTGTGACAAATTTAGCATCCACTTCTACACGCATGCAAATCAATAGTTATAGCACTCTTTAGGGCTGGGCGATTTGGCCTAAAAATAAAATCGCGATTTTTTTCTAACTAATGGACAATTTTCGATTTAAACCTCGATTTTTTTTCTGTGTTTTTCTAAACAAACCAGACCAAGGCTCTTTTAAGTGAACGACGGGAGCCGGCTCTCGCCCGCGAACGAGCCGTTTTTTTTGCGGAGGGATCTAGATCGGCTTGAAGGCACATTATGCAATGTGCACATCATCCCGCTTATTACACATGGCCACATTCTCAACAAAGTAACGACATGACTCAATATTAATTGAAATGCTTTTATGGATTTAGAAAATGATTTTATTGACTTAAAAAATAGTTTTATGTATTGATTTAAATTGACAAGCATCCGCTAAGAAAAGTAGTCCGTTGTTACCGTTTGAACTAACGTAGCAACGGCAGGAACTGCTTCGATAGTGTTTTTGAGGAGCTTTTTGATTACAGATTTGAAAACATCGTTGCTTGCTTTAAAAGTAGCACAATTCATGATGTCAGACCTTGGGAAGTATCTAGATATCCCTGCCCTAATGCCAAAGTAACTGCCAACTGAATATGTGTCGCCGTTTGATGTCTATGTATGGGCTGCTGCGTAAAAAGGAGGGTTTCT